GTGTCGTGCGAACACCCACATAAACGACTCAGTTGCTTGGGCCCTCGGGCTCGATTCGTACCAGCGTTGACAAAGGTCCTCCGGACCAGATAGGTAGTCTGCCTAAAACTAGTACTTTTTACACATATGTGTGTGAATTTTGATGTCGAACCTGAGCTCCATTTCTCCTTTTGTGATGGCGATGTAGTTGCTGTCGCCTGACAGTTTCCAGCCACCGCTCATCAGTCGCTTGGTAATGCTCACCAGGTTGAATGGGCATTCCGGGCAAACAGCGACTTCTTCGAACATGATTTTTCGAAGCTCAATACCTTGATTGTTGCATTGCATCATCGTGAGTTTTCCAAGCTTTGTTGCGTTGGATAACGACCCGTTCGACGTGATTGCTGAGTCGTTCTTGCTTGCACTTTTCATGTCGAACATGCAACTCGAGTGCCTTGTCATGTCAGTGGTAGCTGCTGTGTCAGCGACCCATATGTTCGGATCGTTCAACAGTTCCATTGTGTCCGGAAACAGCTGCTCTGTGACGGCACACATGATGAAGTGCCCCTTCCATCCAGTCACTGTTGCTCCACTGACTTCTCCGGTACTTCCTCCTTTGTTCTTTCTGGAAACCCATCCATTCGGCCTCTTGCTCGAGTTCTCAGGTAGTTCCCAGCAGTCTCTTTTGAAGTGTGGACCTCCACATTCCCAGCACGGTCCTTTCTTCTTGAACTTGCCGTTGCCGTTGTTGTTCCCTTTCTTTTGGAACTTTCCATTGTTGACTGCGGCCATTATGACTTCCTTCTCTGAGCTGTCCTGCTTCTCGGAAAGCTTCTGTCCGCTTGTCAATCTCCAATGCTGCATCATTGCAGTTTCGAGGTCCTCGAGCTTCAATGCGTTGCCCTTGATCCTCTGTTCGCAAGTGATGATCGACTGATACCCAATTGGTGCTGCAGCCATTGCAGCCGCTATCAAGTCCTCATCGCTTACTGTTCCTTGTGCCGATGAAAATCGGTTCTTGATGCCACTCAGCTTTTCAAACATGATCGCTGGTGACTGCTTCACGTCCATCGTAAGTCTGGTCAGTTGCAGACGCAACTCGACTCGACTGATGGTGTCTTGAGGTCGGAACCTTTCGTAGAGTCCTTTCACAATTAAGTGAGCCTTGCCGCTTGGCCATTCATTAGTTCTGGCTGTCAACAAGATTCCCATCAAATTTTCGGTTGCAAAGGACAAGGTGAAGTTGTAGACGGCCATGATGTTTCTCTTTCTGGCATCCATCTGTTCTTGTGTTTCGTTTGCTCCAACTGCTTCGGCATTGGGCAAATCATTTTCAGCATTTGTTGTCAGTGCTTGCGAGAACTTCATTAGCATTGCGTAGGCAGAGAATCTCATCCACCACATCTGGAAGTCACTCGGCTTGCCTGAAAACATTGGCTGCCTGACGCTCTTAGACGTCTCATCCTGAGCGTTCATGTTGTCAACGCTCCGTAGCACTCACTCTTGTTGCTACCAATCGCTTCTCGAAGAAGGATTCCTTGAACCTATCGATCGATTCAATCCGACAATCAACCTCAAGCCGTCGCTGTCGATACTTAAGTATGTTTGAAGGCTTTGATGCTTCTAGATTGTGAGCTATTATTCATTATTCTACTATATAAATCACCCTTTTGACTCCTACTTCGGTGACTCCAATTCTTGTTCGGTTACTCTTGGTCCTCCAAATCTCTCTTACATACATCCAAACATTACAATCCCACAACCAAATAGCATTTGCTTACATCCAAATATGCACCTTTGGCCTCTTCAGTTGGATCCAGCCAAAGGTGTTTACAGCCCAAAGAACTCCAAATACTCCAATTAAGGACTCACAGTTCCCCGGAATTTCACCACGGAACAAGTATCTTTCTCTCCTTCTGGAGGTGCTCTCGACCATTCAGAGGTAGACCCCTCGTATGAATACTTGCTTCCAAAATCTGAGGAAAGGAACGCGCCAGCGAAGAGAACCGGTCCATACAAGGTTTTCATATACTTGATTGTATCTCTGGT